CTGTGTTCTCAAATTTTCCTTCTCTTCCCATCTGTTCTTAATATTTCCGTAGAAAAGTACCTTTCGTCACAAAATAGTTACTTAAAATTTTCACAACACTAAGTTACCGTTTATTTCGATAAAAATGACCTTTTCGCAGGATGCACGAAGAATTTCGCGAATGACTGTATACACGCTTTAAAGGGATGCCGCGCGCGTTATAATGTATCCTGTACAACGTCCAGAAGCAGGACATTTGGAGCAGTCGAAAGCATAACGTCAAGAACTTTGTCCTTTTCACGTGACAATAACAAGGAAGATTCGAGGTTGCTTTGGTGGAGTTGGTTAACCCACTAACGTACGCCGCTTATTTAGGTTTGTCTCGAGAGAAGCATCTGATGTGACTTTATTTCTCTACGCTTTGTGTTGCGTTTCAGGTGTGTATGTGCATACGTACGTATGCACAAAGTGGCACTGGTAGCGTTCGTATGTATCCTAACAATAAAGTTAGGCGAGCGTATCCTTTTACGTGTAACTTGCACAATTTCGTTTGTATAAAAACTTTAATCATTTATTTTGAGTAAGCGATGTACACCCCTAACATATTGTCCCTTTCAAATCTTCTCTCTCGCCGACGAGCGGAATTTTAAAAGAAGGAAAAGGAATTTGAAAGAAGTAAATATTAATTTTCAAAGATCCTCGTGCATCCAAAGGTGTAGATTCATCAATGGAAGAAGTATGTATCGCTATCTTACAGATGCAAATCTATGTCTCACACGAATAAGGTTAACTGTGTTCTATACGCTTGTAATTGTCCAAAGATTTGAGGCTTTCATGGCTCGGTATTACGTAGTTATTATTGATGAGTAGACTGCGGATTTTTATGAAAATTCATATTATTATGAATGTAATTGAAAAAATAGAAGCTAGGTAAGCAATTGTTTTATTCGCTAAATATTCTAACGAATACTATATTTTTGCTTATTATGTGCATTCTGTGTACTTTTGTGCCTTCGAATTTTCCATAAATGCACAAAAATCCGCAGTCTATCGATGACACTTTCGGGTGTAAGCTGAATACACTATTAGGACCTTATTTTGGATGTTTTGTTGCATACCCTTTGTGTTACAAAATCCCAAACTGAACCATTTTTTTCAGAATCTGAATAATTTTGCAATCACTGTTTAGGTTTGCTTCGCATTCAATAAGTGACCTAATACTTGTAAACCGGAGTGTACATGGAGTTACTCTCATTAACGTTCGGACAGTTTTTAGAACAGCATACCTTTTCTTAAAATTGGACCGAACGACTTGAGTTTCTTTGAGAAGTTAGAAGGACTAGTTTGCTAGATAAAATGTACACAAAATTTTGCAAAAATTGCAATTCGAGGGAATCTATAAAGGTCACATTTTACAACTTATTTCTATCTGAGCTTGTAGTGAATATTTAAATATACCTTTCGTAGACATATGTCAATTGCATACACACTGAACATATGTATGTACGCTTGTTCAAACCTTTCGTTATGTCAGATATTAGGATTAGCTTCTTTCGAATTGCGAAACGGATTGGTTTCAGTGTTGCTCGAAGTCTTAAGGAGTACAGATCATAAAAGTTTGTGTAGTATGGGAATCAATTTATCGGCAATCACTGCGAGGCCCACGATTCGCTGCACGTGCAGGTCGATCGATTTAACAAATGAAGACGAGAAAGAGACGCTCGAGAGCAGGTAAAGAGGAGAAGAGAGAACAAAGGAAAGGGGGAGAAGGAAAAGGGTAGTAGAAGAAATGGCAAGAATTCTCGTGTCGCGTTTCTGCGTTTTGCTAGCGGACCAGTCGACGGCTGCGGGTCAACGAAACTCATTTTTCATTAATTGAAAGTAAACTTCGAGAAGGGGGAACTGCCTCGACGCTCCCGGGAATCTTTGAGCAAAGTCATTGAAACTAAGTTTGAGAACTTTAACGTTCGTGCCAGTTGCCGCCAATTTATTGGCATGTGAAACGAAAGTGCCCTCGGCATGACGTTTTATTTCGACCGTTTTCAATGTATTGGTCGTCATGAAAATTTTAATACCAATGCATATACTTTTATTCGTACACAATGTATTTTCTTTACGATGCACCAGGCTTTCGAGGACCAATCCACACCTTTCGATTCCGCGAACATTTGTTAAAGAACTTCGCTGTAAAATTGCTTCGAAGGATAAATTAATTAATATTAATGTCTTCTAATTAACACATCACGTGCATTTCTCCAGAATGCTTTTCAAAAAATTAAGGGTTGCTAGGTGTAAGTTTAAAAAAAAATAACGTTTCCTTGAAAATATTTTACTAATGCAATTTAGGACATGAGAAACAATGCAACTTTGAATTTAACTTTTTTCTCCATATTATATACGGTTTCGTCAATATTCACGTGTGTTCCCTAACTTAACTTTTATTGCAGTACCATCGTTGATATTCTAAAATGTAATTATTTAAAGGAACGAAACGAGGAATTCTTGTTTTCTTGATTCTACTCAGTCCACGCGTAATTTCACATTGACGCGTTATTTCCTTGCGGAATATTTAGAGCTTTAATCGATATTTGAAATTTAACGGTAGTTAAACTCGTTGGATTGGTCTTCTCATGCGTATTCATAAGATATTACGATGTTCAATATTCATAAGCTATGCGATACTTTGAACGGGACCGGCTCGAATGAGACTGGCAACTGCAAAAAAAAAAAAAAATAGAAGTGCAGAAGACATTCACACTTTAACTTACTCCATTTGCATCTTGCACCTCAAAATAATAAGATAGCGACTTTAATCGGTCGTTAAAAAACGATTTTTCATCCCTCTTTAAACGTCTACAATTCAGATAAAAATTAAATTCGTACTAAGAAATATTTGAAATAATTCAGACATTGTGAATCAATGGTTCAGTCAAGAAATGATTATTTAAACGAATTACAGAATATTGCGTCGAAATTTGACGATGCTTCAATCACTTCTTTTTATAATGACAATAAAATAGGAATATTTGGTCCATGATATTAAATTAAATAATTAAACGCGGATATTTTATTTACAATGTTTTAATTAAAATTGAAGCACTTACTCGTTTTCAAATGTTCCTGACATTTCGAGATATGAAATACTTTCAATCGGTAAATTTAAATACCATTTTGAAATATACTGGCTGTTCATTATAATCTGTATTTATTACAGAGGAAGTGAAATTGATGTTGACGAAATTATTAGATATTTTTTTTTTTCCAATTTTTTAGCCCACGAATCTATGAAACTGAGATTTTCTGTATTAAAGTGAACTCACTTTTTAAATACTACGAAAAAAATTCGTAATAAGTGTTGGTATGCTTGAATCTGGAATTTATCTTGCAGTGACGCGTCTCAAAACGACTTTTAATTCAATTTAAGCTCGTGAATATATATAGCAACACTTCAACTAGAAGAAAATGTTGATCCTCGATTGATACCGTCTCATAAATAATTTTGACCAAATTAATTTTGCAGTTGCTATTAAATTAGAAATTCTCTGCAGCTTAAAGTATAATAGGGAATAAATAGCAATAAAACAAAATATCATTCCACAGCTAATAATTTGATGCTTCAAACCTGCATTGATAAAAGGTTCAAAGAAAATTGTATAACAAAGCAGACAATTTTAAAGGGAAATCTGTAAAATATGAATAGCAAGCAAAGGAAATTATTGAAATTGCTTACAAGATAATTTCACATTCTTAATTTTCTCACAATCTTTCCTTCCATTATTTCACGAATTAGATGTTTCAATGTTCCTACATTCACACGACGAATGAATTCTATTAGAAATTGATTACATTCCTTCAATTATTTCCAGCCATGATATGTATTAGAGCGTTCATACAGTTCTGTAGAATTTAAAAAATCCTAATTCCCACACAAGTTAACATATTCATTCAAAATAAAAAGTACTTCAATCGATACACCCTTGCCAACACTTTACTAATTTATTTATGCCATCTAAAAAACATTGGTAACGCAAATGCTTCGTGTTTCCATTTGCTCTTCCCATATCCTGCAGAACATTAAAGACCATTTTCTTGACAGAATTATTACCTGCAATGATATTTGGGTACTTTACAATAGACAGGAAAGATCCAAAATCCAAATCACATCCGAAAAAGATAATACTATTTATTTGGTGGTCTACTGACGGAATTATTCGGCATAATTTTTTGAAACAGGAAGAAACGATTACGGCATTAGCGAAATACATCGAAAGCTGTCAGTTATCGTCCAGCATTAGTCAACAGAAATGATCCGATTCTTTTGCACGATAACGCCTGATCACGCGAATCATTAATTACAGTGCAAAAGTTAAACGACCTAGGATACGAGACTCTAGAATATTCACCCCATTCACTGAACCCTTCGCCGACAGATTCTCATCTGCTCAAACATTTTCACCATTTCAACAAGCAGAAAGTATTTCGAAGTGAACGCTGCACTTTGTTGATTCCAAACATCCAGTTTTCTCGCAGACGACATAAATAAATTAGCGAAACATTGGCAAATGTGTGTAACGATTCTTATTTTGAATAAAAATATTCTACTTTCGGCGGAGATACGATTATTCGAGTTAAGACGACGAAATCCGAACGGAACTTTCCGAACGACTTAATAGCGACGGAAAGAGATCGAGGATGTAGGAACGGAGGGAGAGACTCGATGCGTAAGTGGAGAACCATCAGTGAAATCACTGTCGTCGAAAGTGTAATTCTGAAATCCATTCCGGCCAGTTAAAGGGGACCAAGTAACGTGAAGTAATTCGTTCATGGATAAAGAGGATCACCGAGCATTGGCAATTTAGTGGATTCACTGGAGAATCTCTCCACCTCGAATGTGCACCGTTGACGAGGTTTTAATTACGCTAATTACTCGAACGAACCGGTATAACAGGCAACCAGCCGGGTGTATCGTCGTGGGAAATGCCTGAGGTACGCGAGCCGCGTTAAAATAGATATTTACTGACCTGGATTTCGCCATTCCTCGACCTCGTAGTCGATAGGTCGTTGTCGTGATACCTTGTTACCGTTTCTACCTAAAATACATTACACAAAGGCGGTTTTACATAGCATGTTTTACGATAGGACGTCATGGCATGCAGGGACACGGGGGAATGGATGCCCTTGCTTCAGAGCAAAAAAACAAGTAAGACGATGAATGGATGTAGCACGACTGAGCGAGCTCAATGCCGCTTTGTTTGCAAATTAATGCTAGGTGTTCTGCCTAATTCCACGTTCGTTCGTGAAAATGTCCGCGATACCGTTTGCTTGGCCGCTCGATTTGCATCATTGTACTCGCGCGTTTGTGTTACTCTGATCGCGATCGAAATTAACGTCGTGGAAATAGGCTGAACAATCCGTTAAAGTTTGGGGTTAATTACCGTTCTTCTTCAGAGACGAAGTCACGTGGTAAGGCGGAGGAATGGTGGACGTCGTTGACGGCGCTGGAATCTCTGTGTGGAGAGAAAGAAATTGTATTTTGAATTAGAGTACGTATTAGTGAATTACGAACGAGTAATATAATGGAAGGTAAATCTTATCGAAGTGATAATACATATTTGCAGAAATGTATTTCCTTCAGAAAGAGATGAGACTGCTTGAACGTCATACTTGAGCCAGTCAGAAGCTAAAATGATCAACTCCACTTTCTGATATTCCTCCAATTTTAGTATCAAATCACATGCTTGGCGCTTAATTTTTCATAAATAAAACAAATTTAGTAAATTTTATTTTATGGAGTTAGACAATTGGGTGTCTGAGTGTCTCTTAACAACAACATTTTCATACCTTGAAGAATGGTATCTATTACATTAGGACATCCTTAACAAAAACCTTAATAACTTAAAAAAAAACGTGACTCTACTGAGATTAAACATTTTTATATAAAATAATTTCCGAGAAAAAGAAGAATGCAAATCTCCCCGATCTGAACTACGTGTATGTTTACACCTGAGAAAAATCATGCTCACAGTTTCACTACAGTTTCCTAAAACCAGGTACCAGGTTGCAGAGTCATACTGTAACGAATTGGAGGTCGTCCACGAAAAACTGAAGGGACAGCAACCCACTCAGGTCGACAGAAGAGGACCTATTCTTTTGCATCATAACGCCAGATCGCACATAGCAAACACAACTGCACAAAAACTGCACCAACTGGCTATTGAAGATCTGCATCATCCCGCATATTCCCCTGATTTTCACTTTTTCCCCTCACTTGACAATTTCCTTACACAAAAACGATTTAGAAAGCAGAAGGATACTGAAAACGCCTTCGGCAGTTTCTTTTCTCCTGGAGATTCACATTTTTATATATGCAAATTTAATGCTCTTGCAATACATTGGCCAAAGTGTGTCAAGCATGATGGAAATTATTTTAAATAAAACTGTTTAATTTTAACGGAGTTATGTTTTTCTTTCAATATGAACGCCGTTATGTTACTTTTTACTATCTACAAGATTTACCTAGCGAGACTTGCATATAAAATGATTTGATAAATCTACGCAATGGATTTATTTTCAAACTTCTAGCCGTATCTGTGCCGTAATCCTGTCTTTCCCTTTTGTGTCAGATGAGAATTCTTAATTTGCCTTCTTTGGCAATAAGCTTTCCTGACTTTTTTTCGCGATACACCAGTGTACTCCTTTCGCCTTCCTTGCTTAGCCTGTAGCAGTGTTTAAAACTGTCCAGGAAGAAATTGCCTTACCTCAAATACGTTTTTAGCGCATTAAAATTTCAGCTACGTATGTATATTCTCGTGTGTGAGCGCAAACTTATTCTTTACTTCTGACGATCTTCACGAGTTGAACAACTTTCGTAAAATGTTCAATAGATCTACGTATAAAAATGAATTTAACCTCGACACTTACCACCGGAATATGTGTATTGGTAAACTCGGAAAAATTCAAGGCTGAAGTTCTTTCGTGTTCGTTCCGAAGCCACTGCGATACGTATGTATATCTGGTTAAACTTTTAATTTCAGCCAATTTATTCGTTCAAAAAGATGGAAAGGAATACTCGTCCAGGATAAATATACCCTTCGTAAATTTAATCGCCAATTACGAACAACGTTGAAACGATAAGTACGTTTGACCTCGTGAAACGATCGATGGCAATCGACTGCTAACGATAAGAGTTTTTGTGTAAAGTTCATCGGGAATCAATTACTTTGTTATTACAAGGTATACAGGGTGAGTCACGTGAAACAGAACGTCTAAACATCTCTCTTAGGATCGAAGATGGGGGAAAATGCCGGAGAGAAAAGGAATACTCTTCAAGGCGGTAAATATGGTAATACGAAGAAATTTTCCGTCTGATGTTATCTTCGAGATTGCTTAGAGACCATCGATGCTTTTTTACAAGTTCGACGACGTAGGAGACTACGACCTTGAGCTCAGAAATTTACGATCGAGCAACGACAACTCTGAAGTGTGCAATTTTTTTATTTGAATTAAATTCAGCGTATCGTCGATTTTGACTATAGCGAGGTCGTAAAATCGGCCAGGCGTCAAAGTAAACGTGTTTTAGCCGCCGGGACACGAAAATTGACAGAAATACGAGCAGATGAGTACTTGAAACCATGATCAGGACCGTACTGTTACACCCTCAAATATTTTCCTTCTTAGCCTTAGTTCTATTTGTATTTACAACGAGCCATCCACTTTTACCATTACTCACACTGGACTCTTCACCTTCCAACTCTCCTACATAGTCTTCCCTAAACCCTTAAATAGCCCTATTTTCTCCATTTCCGCATTCATTCTCTGTTTTACGTCACGTAACGTTAAATCTCTGTCAAGTAAAGTTCTGTTTCTACTCAACGACGATCCTTAAGTGTTTAAATTCAGTGTTACTCCAATATCTGCTCCGAGTTTCGAGGAATTGGAGCAAACCGGGCATTACAGTATAGTCGGGGCCACGATATAGCGAGGTCGTAAAATCGGTTAGGCGTCAAAGTAAACATGTTTTAGCTGCCGGGACCCCGAAATTGACAGAAATACGAGCAGATAAGTACTTAAAACCATGGTCAGGACCGTACAAAGAATTCTTGTATCCAGTGAAAATTAAACTGATTCGAATATGTTTACTGAAAACTGCGTGCAGCTAGGACAAATTAGGGTTTTTCCCTCTGAGGTAGGCCGCTTTCGGAAGTACGGTTACAGGTAAAGGTCTTATCGAGGGCTTTAGCATCTTAATTTATCTGCTCGTGTTATATACAGATAGAAAATGCAAAAAGGTTGTGTAGCTTAATATTAACATATTTTCCATTTGTAAATGAAATACCAAATCCTACCATTCGTTCATTGTTGGAACCCTCAAACAGACTGCAACGCACGGCCTTGAGTGCGGCAACATCAATCGGTGCCGATTCTTGAGAGTTTAATTTACGTGGCCCCGACTATATCTTTAAGTGTTAATAACTAAAATACGAGGCCTCAAATCCAATTTTTTCGTATGACGACCGCCACGGGAGGCCTACGTACCTAGGCCTGGCCTAGAGAGATGTTTTCCAAACATCTCCGGGTTCCTTCGTCCTCGAGGACAAGAATATTGCCTCGAGCCTTGGCGGTGTGGGCCCGCGCCCCCACTTTTAGGGACTTTCCCAGAGAAAAAGGGGCTCTTTCGTCGTAGATCCTCTTGCCATATACATACTTCGTGTCCTTTAATTTTACATATTAAATGGTTGAAGTGTTGTTTAATTTTAATAAATATATATTACTGTTAAAAATAACTTTCGTGTAACAATTAATTTACACCCCGTCGCTTCCAAACCTGATTTTCGCCTTATTTTGGTTTTTGAAATCAGGAGTGGCCGAGCAACTTGTGCAAGGAAATAGAGAAGCGACGGAGATTAGAATATGAGAGGTTAGAAGCTCGAAATTCATGTGTGATTTGGGTTGTTAGATTTGAAGGCTCGAATCCCGGGTGTGATTCGAGTGTTAGAATACAAAGTAATAAACTGGCTAATCGCGTTTGCTACAATTCGAATCCCAGTTGCAATTCGAACGGTGCGATAGCTATGTGTTTAGAATCCCAGTTGTAATTCGAACACGGTCAATGTTCTTGCTGCAGTCAATGCAAATCCTCGTATCGGTGCTAGATAAGTTGCTCGAGAAAGTGGTATTACCCAATCAAATATTGTGCGGACGCTGTATTTACGTGAATTTCCAGCCATATCACATATCACTCCATTAAGAGTTTCTTCGGCGAGATTTTTGAGAGAGGTCTGGTCCCTCTTCAATGGAAACTTCACTTTTTTCATTAACTTTCTACGTTTATGCAAATATGATCATAGTTGACGTGAACATGAGGCTCGCGTACGCATGTATATTTGAAGAAAATGCAATTTTCAAATGATAATACAATTATGCGTTGTACAAGTAATCGGTATTTCAGTAGTCAGAAATTTATTTAAAATAAAAGTTGGAGAGTTTGAGGTTAGATTGAGTAAGTATAAAGAAGTATGTTATTTGAGCGAGGTCTGAGGAAAGTTAGACATGACAGACAATTTTTCGGTGAAATATCATTTATCGATGAGAGTCAGCATACCACGTGCAAAGTTTTACAAATCCTGAACGACGAGCCAGTCAATCACAGGCAATTAACAATTTTCTTGTATACGAAGGTGTTCAACGAAAACACCCGGTTTTCATATTTGATTTATGAGGCCATTGGAAGCTAATTCTATTATAGGTGTTTGTGGAACGTTTTGGCGAAGCTATCAGGAGAGTTCAATATCCTGGAACAGTGTACTTGAAGTGTTGGATATTCATTTTATTAGGCATAAATGTATTGAAGTGAATCAAATAATGAATTAAGAAATACAAAACAGAAATACATTTCGACGTAAAGTATGTAATTCTTGTTGAAAGTAAATGGTGAAATATGAATTAGAAGAGAAACGTTACTTTTTAGAATCGTGTATAAGGAATTTAAATGATTTCATTTATAAACTTCGGATGAAAATAATTTGTGTCGCTTCGATCATTATGTCTAAGTTTTCTAACAATACCACACGCACCTTATGGTTTAACAAGGTACACAGGATATAAAATACGTGGAAAAACTTTCTGATCATTTCTACTCATCTTAAGAATTAAATCAGATTATAGAAAACAAGCATAGGTCTTGAAATTTTTTCTCTTCAAGGTGTAAACATTTTTTATTTATGACTAAGTTTTGTAAGAATACCTATCGAACGTTGAATTCCAAGCGTAATTAGAACTAACATTGCAATTTCTGAGAGACCTCAGGACTTAAAGAAAGCTAAACTTAAAGAAGACTAAACTTAAAGAAAACTTTATTAAAAACAATTTCACTGTCGCAGAATTTTTGCACCTCTGCAGGCCACGTGAACTGCTGACGCCTTGCTTCTGTTCCCTCAATAGCAATAGATGTATCATAAACTCAAAACACGAGGTATGCATAATCGATAACTCTCGTCTAACTCTCATGCTGAGCTGCACCATTGCTCTGCTACTAAGCTGAGCTACGAAGATTGCCCAAGGGTGTAGAATGTGCTAATCATGCCGCTGATATGCCGATCATTTCACCGCCCAATCAATCGAGTTCGGTATAAGAATCGATGAAAGAAATGAAAACGCGAGAATTAAAGGAACACTGAACATTCGTGTGTAACCAAACTAGTGTTCGACAATCTACGAGACATCAATGCGAGACATGCATCAAAGGAAATCATTTCCAACAATTTCGTGAATGAAACAAGTTAACGGAAAACGTTAATATATACGAAAAGAAAAATTTGTAAATATTTACACGAATTTTGCGTACATTCTTAACACTTTAAGCGCTATGTAGACTAGCGATTAAGCGCCGTGCTCGCCTAAATGCGTTTTTACAGAAAAAAATATTATATCTCTTGAACAGCAAGTGGCTCAGTATTTATATGATTAAAAATCGTCGCTGTGCCTGTAATAAGCACTATGTAAAAATTTTCAATAGAAATTTTCGGTTTTGCAAGAGTTATTTTATTTTATTTTGTAAAAGTGCACGTTTCTACAAAACTCGTAAATACTGCAGCGCTTTAAATCTTAAAATAAGTGAGATACGCTTGTTTAGTTTATCCAGCTATTTCAGCTACACTCTACGTAATTTAAGACACATGCTCACCGTCCAGTTTGATGACACCGTCAGTTCCTCCGAGGGAATTCTGCGCCACGCATTTGTACGAACCGAAGTCGTTCAAGCCAACGTTTCTGATCTGCAGCGTCATGTATTTCTTGTAGCCATTGTCGGTGTGTACCGCCTTGTATTTTTCGCCTGCAATGGAATGGTAATTGCCTAGGCAAATAAAACCATGTTCTTCGCAATTCGGAAAAATTTGCACATGATAGAGTAAACATCAATGAAAATCAAACGAGCGAACAACACCGAGCTTGTGTAAATCTCCGACATTCCGAAAATTGAAACGCGTGTTTAAACACCAACAGCGTTTGCTCAGAATAATTTCGAGAAGTGCTTCTATTCGCGAAGTTACATGTTACCTACTGTTAGGTTAGTGCAAATGAAATGTTACTTTTCCAGCAGTTGAAAATAGCAAGTTGATACCGTGTATTAAATTTTGTTTGATTACCAATTTTCATAAATAATAATTGACGCGACCTTATTGTAACATGACGAAGCCTCGGGCCTGGCGAATTAGCGCTGTAAAATTCGTTAGTCGCATAAACCCCCTTTAACCCTTTGCCTTATAATGACGTGGCACACTCGAGGTACAGCTTATGGTCAATATGTGACAAAGAAATTTGGCGGTTATGTGACGGCAGGATGAAGGAAATAAAGAGGATAGGCAGGCGGAAAAGGAGAGGTAATGCATTTTAACACTAGGTTTACGGGACGCGTCATTTTCACGCATTTCGAATTTCACTAGGACAATTACAGAAACCGTTTATATTTCTCTCCTACATCACTTATGCTTATTATAAATTTTATAGAAATATATTGTTCGTATTATCGTTCATTTATAAAAGTTAATAGTGTACAATATTGTAGGAACCGACGAAAAAATTTTTAGAGACTCTCAAACGGGGAATCGAACCCTTCGGCTTAGCAAACCGAGGCTTTGCGCACTACGCCAACTACTCCCTCTCTATTCTACCTTCGAGGTTTCCTATTTAGGCATGGAGGGCCCGATACAACAATATGTTGTTTTTAAATAAAACGAATTGCTTTTTAAAGAAAATATGCGGTTTCGTCCACGCGTCCGTAAACCTAGTGTTAATCCTGAGTTTCTTAGTGAACTCGTTCGTAAGGCTACCTAGAAGACGTTCTACATTAGACGCGGAGGACTGTTAGGGTACGTGTCCATTTGAGAGCAAAACGATCGCGAGTTACTTCTTGAGAGGCAAATTTATCAGTGTAAAGGTAGACGTGTTCATTTCAGAGTACAACTACCGCGAGTTGCTCTCGAGAGTGTGTTCACGCGGTATTGCGAGAGCTGAATACACAATCTGAGAGTACTATTGACAGCAACTATCTCAAAAACATTCTCAGGTGGACAAGTATCCTTAGACTCAGGTCAGAAGTTGTATACTGTATATACAAACGGAAGCCTAAAGTGAGAACTAGCGAGAATTGGTGGTCAAGCGCAGGAAGTGTACTGTCACAGAACTGAAATTTATGTTTCTGCTTTAACTTCAGGTTCACTTTAACCCTCTGCAGTCCTATGTCGAGTCGACGTAATGATAAATTATGAATGATAATAAACCATTTTTTTATTCATTCATATTATTCTGAAACTTAGTATTTTATAACTAATATTAAGCTGAAATATTGAAATAAAGGGAAACCACATGGTACTGCCCGAGAGTGACCAAATGAGTGCGGACTAACTGGATTACTTGGACCGTAAAGGGTTAAGATTGACGATTACTAAATACAAATTGCACCTAATATTTTAATTTCGTTTTACCTACAGTGTATTGATACAGCGAATAGCTGAGGCTAACACATGTAGCAATTAAAAAAATCGTAAGGCAAGGAGTTAAAGTGTCACAGCCAGGACTGAGTACAATCATTCGTGATTCTACAAATAGGTAAATTTTGGAAAATTTATTCTGTGTCTTCTTGTATAGAAAAGTAAGAATTGTATTTGTACATATTTTATGAATTTTTATACACGGTATCATAGTGCGACTACAAAGAGAAGCATTAATGAGGCTATGCATAAAAAACGATGGAAATTTTGTTCTTACACACGTATACAAGATACTTTTTGACTATATTATAAAGAGGATCCATGAATATATTCATGATATCATTTTAAATATAAAACATAATTTTCTTCGAAGGCTACAACGTATAAAAAGAACCTTTCTTTTTACAAAAACAACAAAATTGCAGACAATTTATAGCGAGATAAATGACAACACAAATTGAAAATATTAAAAACAAATAATTATAGATTCATATTTCTTTTTCTAAATTGATCGACTTAAACAAAGTTTTCCTGTAACAATTTTTAAGGAAGATGAATGAAAAGTGTAAAACAGAGAGAGAGATATAGCAATTTAAAAGTCCTTATGAATTAAAACTGAAGTGAAAAACACTAGAACGACCGGCCGGGTCAGAATGACGCATTGGCCACTTTCCAGAAGTGAATTATTATACAACTAAACCGTGGTTGAAAAATTAGATTCGCATCGGTACAAATACAAGTACACATGCAGAAAATAAAGTCGCAAAATCACAAACGATAATACTTACCCTTATCGAACGTTTACTTTTTTGGGTAAATTGCTAATGGGTCATTTTGACCCGGCTACCGGTCGTTCTAACGGCAAGCTCTGTAGCTGTGCTTTTTTCGCGTGACAATCTCAACAGTGGAATAGATACGCGTAATTTTATTAAGATTAGAATTACCGGGGACAATCATGTCGCCGTGTTCCGTTGTCCAGTAATTAATCGAGGTTGGATAGGCTTCGGTGATGCATTCTAAGGTCACATCTTGTCCTATGTATGCTGCTTCCAGCTGGCTTGGTATTGTCAGCATAGGAGGAACTGCAACAAAAGGAAAAGTGGACACGATGCAGTTGATGAAAGAGACTTCCATTTTTATATTAAATTAGGATCATGAGTGTGAACCGTTTCACACTGGCCAAAACTGTTCGCAGTCTGTTCGCGAACAGAAACAGCATCGTATCCATATTAAAAGTGTAATTTAATTAGAACGATGGTCTTTTGTTTTCAAGGAGAAAGCACCGTTTGGAAAAACACGCGTAGCAAGTCCAGAATACGCTTTTTTTATAAATAAGAATACGAATAATATTTTCTACGATATTTTCTTGCATTCTCAACAACGAGTGAGTTATCCCAATGAAATTAGGAAGACTGATGATTAAAATAGTTTACACTGAGATTTGTTTTTAAAAGTGAAACGTGCTTTGAACTTTGGTAACCAAACTTTTCGAGCTTTATGCTCTCGAAATTTGAAACTGTTCCAAGTGCCGCATGTAATGCGCTAAAACGCTCGCGTTTGCAGCTCTGTAAATGATGGAAAATCCACGAATTTAACCGAAATTTCGATGAACATTTTCCGAAAGTTTGCAATCAAAAAAATGTACACGTTAATACCGAATACCATTAAAATAACGAAGAATCGTGTAAATTATAATACAATTTGCAAAACAAAATAACCTACAAGGTTTGATATATCTGTCCTCGATAATAGCGATGGAAAAGTTTCATCGATCGTCTCTATTAACTTGAAATAATCACCGCTAATTCTTCTCTTTCTCCAACAATTGCTTAACAGCGTTTTTAACGCGTTCGAGGACGTTAATCTTGAACCGTACATTTCTTAAAATCCTGTTACTTCAATGGACGCAGGTCCGAGTTAATGAACAGCTGTTTATTTTCAAATGCTCCGTTCCGGTGGAAAATTCTTTTTCCACCAGCGGATCCCCTTTATTCAACTTGTTCACCCCTTATGCGGTAAAAGCGAATGCCTTGAGAACGGCCGCGTTTCATAGACACGCCTTTATGCCCTTTAATTTTCTCCATTTTTCCGTGGACTCTATAAAGTTTTCATACACTTGAAACTCGGCACCACTCGAGGAACGTAGACTCCTCGCGAAGCTAAAACATCCCTCTCAAAGTTTTCGGTTATTATACAGTGTAGCAGGCGAGCTGTCTCGCGATCGATATAGATATTCCGTGACCGCAATATCATGTCATAGTTCCGTCTTTTACGGACCAACGTAAATCACGATTTACTGCCATCGTGTACGCCCGGGACGATATCACCAAGGGTGGCGTCCCTCGTCGACTCTATATTCTTCCTCCGACGTTTTCGTTGAGTTATCGAGCCGATATTGACCGGCCATTAGCTGATCAACCTGATCGCGACGTTAGGGAAGATTTTCAAGTGGTGTTATCGATTTAGCTCGTTGGAAGAAAAAAATAGAGTGCAATTTTGCGGGTAAGAGATATTAATTGGATCGATGAGATTCGGAAAGGTTCAACCCTTTTTTCTCGAGTGGCGATCGATGTGTGACATTATTTACCGTTTGGTGAATAATTAATCGAAGCTATCTTAAAAATATTAATTTGAAAGAACCGTACAAGGACTTGTACAACGTAAACATACATTAAAAATTGGGATAAAATAGTTGTATTTGTTAATATATGCATGATTTATTTCTGAGTTAATTTAAAAAAATCCTAGAATCTTTTAAGGCGATAAGTATCGATTCTTCGGCACAAGCAAGGTTTGCCGCTTCCCTATAGCAAACAGATCATCGAGTGCGAAGGGTTAAAGGGCTACACCACCCTGAGGCTTCTAGAAATAGGTAAAGTTTGGACATTTTTTCCGTGGGTAATTGCTAAGTGAAAAGATTCAATTTTTTCTGAGAATATAAATGTACCCTGCAATCTTTAGAAAGTGAAAATGCTACGAGAGAAAGAAGAGAAAAACGAAGTTTAATTTAACCTGGGTTAGGTAACAACAGGAAAATGAGCTTTAAGATAAATATTGGGTCTATGCAAAAGTTCCTATCCAATTTTTGTGGAGATGTGTTATTAAACGTTATCAGAATAATATTAATGTAGTATTAATACCATAGACGTGCATTTATTTTTTATTATATTTATAATTAATCTATATTCAGTATAGTGAATTAACTGTAGTATCGTCACAAATACCAACAATGAAAATTTAAACAAAAAAAGAAACATACAGTGCCTTTTAGTGCCGTTGATTTACGATAGAAACATTCGCAAAGACCTTCTATTATATGTTGTTTTATTAATTTGCTTCTGTAATTTTGTTAAAAACACCTCTGTTAATGCTCGTGGTTGTGGCGATAATCTTTCGAGCTTTGTGGATGTTTGCACGATGCTGTGCCGTCTACTATATGTAAGAAATCGTATAAAGTAACATTAGATTCGACATTCTTAAAAATTGAACGAAGGGCGCAAAAGATGAAAAAGAAAAGCAACAGTGGAATGGTGTGATAAAAAATTGTAGTATAAATGCTGCGACTATTTCGGAAATTCTCCGTTCCAAAAGGATAACTCAAATTTCGTGGGCGATTATTAACGCTTTTACCTAACCGTGCGGTAAAGCAGAGACTAATGTGTCGGAAAAGACAGCATATAAACGCGTTTCGCACCCCAAAACTGGATGAACGTGACGGTCGAGAGGGGTTGAATGGGCCTAGGTACATCGACCATATCTGGGTCAAGTGACCGCTCGTAAATCGTTGGCTAAATGAGACGTTGAAAAGCGACCTAATGCATCGCGCTGGACCGATCATCTACTCTTTACTCAGCTATACCTATAGAATGTCCGTTCCGCTTCCGTCTCTCGCTTGTCATCGTTGTGATTTTACTTTGATCACTTCGCCATGTTTTCCTACCGTTTCGTTATGTTCGAATGAAAGTTCTCGAAGAAAACTGTTACGCCGGTTTGAAAGTGTACGGGACGTAATTATGGAAGCATGATGTGAGTAATTGTTGAATTCGTTGTTTTTAAATTTAACCCCTTAACGACGAGTCGGATTATGGTCAAGATGTAACAAAAGAAGAATTGTATATCTGGTAAATTCGTATTTTTGCTCCAACTTCAGCTTCAATTTGAAGCGGAGAACTTGAAGCTTTTTACTTAACACTGTATACAGTGAATATTTATGTAACAGTGAATAGCTGAAACTATCATACGATGTGATTCAAAAATCGTAAGATAAGGGGTTAAAGGAATTTATTTATTTATTTGTTTACTTATTGCATACAATATTAAGGAAATTGAAAGTTCTATTCCAAAAAAATAAATTAGATATACTAAACACGTCATGATGTGTAAATTGAAGGAAATATTATTCAATGAAATAAAATGTAGAATGAAGAATGTTCATGTTCACCCTTTCATTACCGTTTGCGCCTATAGGCATTATAGTGTTGCAGCCTTTTGGTGCACTTCCACCTGAATGTAACACTTAATTTTATTCTTCACACACTTACATCTTAATTTAATCAAGCGAATTTTCAAATGACACGACCAAATAAGAAATTTTGCAGCGGTCAAAATCTGCCGTAGCGAAAGGGTTAATTGACTGACTGTGAAGAGTGATCTAAAGTATTCAATATTTCATTTCATTCGTCAATAAGAATCGCTAAGGTATCAAAGAATAAATATATCTTTACACAGAGTTTAAGTATCAAATTTCGAGAAACAGTGTTAATAATTGTAGCGACCAGCTACAGCGGAACATTTGGCGAGCAGACTACCAGCACGGTTTATGACGTGCGCGCTTGAAAGGCTATTTTTGAGGAAACCGTTTTTAGCTTATTTAATTTCTAAAAATTCGACAATGCATGTCCGCGTAGAAACGTTCTCCGACGGCCTCAATAGCAAATTGCCGCATCATAAACCAAGGGTTTCCGAAAGGTCAGCCGTACGAGGCCCAGAGGCCCGAACCGGCAGGTCACGAGTACTTGACCTGGAGGAAACTCAGCTGCCCGCCAAGTGACGTCAGGGGAAAAACCTCCCCCGCCAAGTCGCACTGCGGTCCCCGAAAAAGCGCGCCAAGGGCACAAGGGACACGCAGCGACTTGGGGAAAGAAATTACCTGATTGGTTAACACCGATGCGACGACTAAGACCGTGAGGGTACTTAGCGAAACCCTACACACGTTTCGTTATTCGTAAATAATAACCATATTCCTTCATAATTATAACAACAATCTCTTTAAGTAATAAACTCGAATAATATCAATCTCTCGAAGAATTTGTTTACCAGACAACACTTAAAACAGTTTCAAAAATGTTCAAATCTGTTTAACAACGTATAAACTTGAAACGTTACGCTAGCAATGCAATTTCGAATATTTCTACTATGAAAGGGAAGCGTGGCCGCATGGTTGCAATTAGTACAACACGTTCATAAAATTTAACGGCGCAATCCTAAATTAACGTGCATATAAAGTAGTCCAATAAACATGTATACAACGTTATAGTTTGAGGAGTATACGAGGAAATATTTCAGTATACTTACACTGTACACGAAGAGATATGCGCTGGCTAACTCGCGGTGGAACGTTGTTCGAAGCGATACACAAGTAAGCTCCCATGTGCAATCGACTTATCTTCACAATGTGCAAAATTTCGCCATTTACGACATTCACTGTAACATAAATATAATAGCACTCCATTAGATTTACAGTCGTCGCGGAAAGTATATTCCGAAAGAAAATACGAGTACAGTGTAAGTACACTGGCGTTCAAAAGTATCAAGACACCCGTTACGTTCGTGTAGGAAGTATTGCATAATTTAAATTACACTTCCTAGCCAAGGTTAATAAAGTGTGCAATTTTTACTATATCCCAGTGTATTAGGGAATTGAAAGTTCTTAACTCCTTAACCTACAACAACGTGTCAGACTCGTGGCAAAGTTTTTGGTCAAGATGTGAGAAGAATAGTTATATCAGTAAGAAAAATTCATCGTAATCCTAACTTTCGTTTTAATTTGCAAGACTGAGGATTACTAAATGTAGATTAGCTTTCGTTACCTGACACAGTAGTAAAACAGCAAAATGGCTGACGCTTAGATGCATAGTCAGAAAAGAAATCATATGCTAAGGGGTTAATACACGTGTACAAGTGCACTAACGCATTTTAATTCGCGTAAATTTTAACACACGGACAGCCAAATGTATTTAGACACTTCTATTTCACGTGTATTTAAATATACCTTCGTATTTTAACTCGTGTAATTTTTCATGTAATATACGGATATTCGAGTATTTAAGTATATTTAACCGAGTAATTTGCGGAAACGAAATACAGCTTTACAAATTCCCAGGTTGCAGATAACAATAACAAATTTCAACATAATACAACGGGAACGGAGATTAAAAAGAGATAAATACACGTGAAATTGAGATCTCTGAATACATTAACACGCGAGTACGCGTGTAGTAAAAATTAAACGAATTGTAACACGATTAGAGTGTATAGTCGATAGAATAAATATAGCGTTGTTGTAAGTTTAAGCATTAAATAGTGCCACAGATTGACGCAGTGATACCCAAGATCATATTCGGCATTTTTTTTTCAAAATTAAGGCATACTTCATGTGGCCCTGACTAACAAGGAAATATCTCGAAGTGATAATCACCGAAATTAACGAAACTTTGGTATATGGTAGTACTGAAAAAAATATTCGACACGTATTTTTTTATATCAGCAATCATTCACATTGAAGGGGTGAAAATTATCCTCAAAGATAAGGGTAATACATGTCTTTGGTTAAAATAATTTATTATTTCACATTTTTCTAATTTGTTGTTGAAAAATGGAAAATTCGACAATTCCAACTATTCCTCTATCTCTAATATTTTTCGAGATATTAGATTACATAGATTTACTTCTTCCGAATTTACTTTGAGGGCGATTTTCACCCCTTCAAAAGATACGTGTCGAATATTTTCTTTTGAGAACTACAATACACCAAGGTTTCGTGAAAATCGATGATTATCACTTTGGGATATTCCCTTGTGAGATTTCGAGCCCGTATCTTCTCAGGTTTCTGTCGATTCGCTTGTCACTACGTTCGAATATGTAAATTTTGACGCCTGAGTGAACGTACGACCTCGCTACATATATTTCTTCCATCGACTATACACGTGTATTTAAATACATGTGAAACAAGGACTTCCACCACAGAGATTCCCCGATTCCACGTATATTTCTATTAATAACAAACGTTCGTCAATCTTTAATTTTCTCTTCTGCTTTTCCATATTGCTTCGAGAATTCAAGAACTGCTGAAACGTTTGATTTCTTTTTCATTACCCACGGTCATTTATAATACACTTCTATTGTCTCCCTTTTCATCCTTGAAGTCTGCAATTTTTCATTATGCAGCAACGAAATAATTTTAATAGAATAATGCGGCAAACGTTTATTCAACATTTAAAATTTGACTTTTTAATGCGCCTATAACTAGCGGCTCATTAATATCTATCAAAGAAAGTAATTATTTATTCCATTGTACGTTCACCGCTTTCATTTCTACCCTATACACCGGCATATAATTAAATTACGTTAAACGATTTATCATTCCGTCTAGTCGCAAAGCCTGCAAAACCTCCGCGTTCCACATTTTCTAACAACTTTTACCGGTATTTTGCGGCTGTACTCGGTCATCCATTGTAACAAATTATGTACGTGAATCTAAACGAGATTTTGCATATAATGCAACGGAACAGGAAATAATTTTCAGTATGATTTTGCACCGACAAGTTGTATTAAAATAACGAAGTAACGATAACTTGTAAAATTGAACAATTTTTCCAACCTAATCGTAATAATAATTTCACAAAAAAATTTTTAAGAAGCTAATAACTTTTCATATACTATTTAACCCTTTCGCTGCGACAGATATTAGTAGTTAACAATGACGGCCGCAAAATCTTTCGTGTTGGCGTTTAAACATTTTTTAAAAATTATAAAATTACAAAAATTAAAGATTAAATTAGGGTGAAAGTGTGCCAATGGCGCTAAAGGCACACTGAGAATATTTTCAAAGCTCTTATAGGCGCCTACAGCAGTGAAAGGGTTAAACAAATGGACTTTCTACGAAATCTATTTATGCAATTAAGTTCGTCATTTAAATATACAGAATCCTTCCATTTCTTTATCTGGAATAACGTTTGAAATATTGGACGAAATAAATTTACTACCCCCAATTTTAAAAATGATTTTCACACCTCCAGTGTAGACGCTTACCGATAAAAAAAAAAGTGCCTAATTGTGAAATATCTGCTTCCTTTATAAGAAACAAGTATGCTTGCTTCGGTGTAAATATGGAGACGTAATACCCCGAGGAATACAAAAACAGACGAATGCTGCAACGTGTTCGAATAAGAGGGTAAGAATAAAATGGTACAACAGAGAATCGCGATGCTTCTACGCAAAATTATTGTGTGCATTCTTGGAATTCTTCGTAGAGCAGAAACAGAGTCAGAGATAGGTTGTAATAGGTTCTAACAGGCTTAAACTGGTTGCGAGTAAATGTTAAAGAGTGATGGAAAACCGATTCAACGTTTCTCACGATAAAGGTAAAAGTACATTGTATCAGGAGGAAAGAATTGTTGCTACAATTCCCGGACAGTAATGTGGAGGTAATGGGGCGCTGTAAAAACGTAGGATTCTTCGAGTCGAATAATACCGTTCAATGTATCACGATCTTTGTTACGGTTCATGTACTTTCAAATAAATTGCCTGTTTTTTCTGCTTCTCATTTGGCGCCGCGGTCTTTGGCAACATAATTTCTTTCGTGTTTTCTTATTTTTCGGCAATAAGATATGCATAGTTTGTTACAGGTACATTTCTAATTTTCAATTCCCACGTAACTTTAAGAATTAATAACAAACGATTTATGTTAGAGAGCATATTACCAAGATAACTGAAGAATTTATTATTTTTCGTATAAAATTGGTAAGAAAATGTGTATAGTTTGTTGTAGGTACATTTCCAATTTTAGTTCCCAAGTGATTCGAAGAATTAATAATCAGAATTAGTATCCCAAAGAATTAGTTATCCCAAGTGGTTCCTTTGCTAACATGTTCTACCATTTTTTCATTTTTCAGCATGTTTTAAGTATTTGTAGCTCCATATATGCTCCACCTTGTAGACAAAGTTAGAACAGTGTAATTTATTTGTCCTACCTGTTTTACAGGTTCTACTTTTTCTAGGTTTTACCATACTTTTTTCGGATGTTTAAAAACGTTAGGCTTTCCTCGAATGTTTACAATTCCTTTATTGGCCAGAAAAAAAATGAACCAAATGTTTTCTTAATCCTTGAAAGTGTCGCTATTACTCTAACCCAGGGACTCCTACCGAAACTTAAAATATCGGTATTTTACGGTTATATTTTCAAAACCTTATAAGGAGTGCAAAAATGCAAAAAGGAAATATCGATTTTCTGAACACCGAACACCAGAACAACCCCTTAAATAAGAGAAATTACGCAATTTAAGGCATGTATGTATAACAAAATATAATAGAATCTACTGACCACTGACAATTAACAAAGCTCGAGGACAATTCACTAGGAGAGGGAAAAGCCCACCCTTTGACTCTTTTTGCTTCTTAATACATCAATTCTTAATAGAGTATCAGAGAGCTTCATGAAAGTTAATTAAAAAGAAAAAGAATTAACAGATCCTAAGATACTGCATTAACTTAGACTTCCTTGTATCTCGTATCAGTTGACCTCAATTTGAACAAAATATGTAATTGCACGTATTAATAGATGTAGGTACAAACAATTCTCAATTTTTCCAAGTTTATCTCGTGTGATTCGAGACTCTTAATCACGAGGAAGAAATATCGCGGGCGGCAGAAGGTGAAACGAAGGAAAGTTGCTCGCGGCATAGCACCACAGAGAGTAAAGAGAGTAAGGAGGTGTGAATCATTGCTAGCTAGACCGTGCCGCACGCCAAACCTATCCATTGTTCCATAAACAATGCCTAGAAGCGAGAGATTCCAGCGCAACAGCGGGCTACCACTTTCCCGACGATTTTAATCAAGTAGTCCCACAGGTCCTGCACCAGAATTACCCCGTTTACCTGTTTAGCAGAAACCTTTAAAACTTTCGGCTTAATGGGAAACCGCAATATGATACGATGAAAATTCGATGAAATTTCATCTCCTACATGCTGCATTTGCATTGTACAAAGCATCGCCGATAGCCAATTATTCTTCCGCAACTGCCGTTCAGTTATTGCGATCACTGGTTATTATTGTTATCAGGTCGTTTTATATTAAATGTCCGATTTTTCACGGAAACTTTCTACGGGTATAACTTTTATCAAATTTAATCCTCGTTTTTTTTTCTTCCATGTGAAGATCACGTTGGTTTGTGCAATATGTTAAATACAATCTTGGAAATATGTACTGATCTTTATGCGATATCTTTTTTGTTTTAAATATTTAATTCTTATAAATTCACTCGTGTAAATACATCACTGATTTTTAACCAACAGAGATTCACAGGTTGGTCCAAGGTTGTTCAATACAAATTAAAAGAATTTTTTAAATTGGAAAGAAAAGTTTTCATTTTTTTTTTGTAAATTAGTCAAAAATATATACTTCTTTTTATCAGTGTGCCGTAGTGT